TTTCCGCGTTTCTTCTTCATCTTTTCTTGAAGCAAGGAGAATAATTAGATGAAGCTAACTGAACGTTGGTCAGGTGTGCTTCAAACGTAATGCAAACGTCGCCAAATCGCCGCATCGGCAAATCATAACACAAGAGCTGTTTACACCAAGCGGCCGCCAGGAGGAGAAATAGTCGCCAACTTTTTTTTTCAAAAAACGGTTGGAAAAACACAACAGCGGATTTGAAACCTTGAAACACTTGTTTTGATTCTTTTGTTCTTCTGTCAAACAGAAATGGCGCATTCACCGATGGAAGAGGAGGTAGCTCAAGCTAACCCGGAGAAGATGGACATTCTCACGGAAAAGTTACAGCTTAACCAGGCGAAGATACAGACCCTGACCACCGAGCACCGAAAGCTAATGACCGAGTATCACTCGACCAAGATGTACGACGGTAGGTTTTTTAGAACTTGTGGACAGAATTTAAACTAACGTGATTTACTTTCCTCATTTAGATCTAAAGAAGAGCCTGTACAAGCAGTGCGACGTACTGAAGGCCATCGAAAAGCTGACCAAAGTTCGAGAGCGCTATGATGAAGTTTTGCAGAAGCAAAATGAAAGCATCGCCAAGGGAAATCAAAAGGTGGAGAAGTACATGAAGCACATTGAAAACATCAAAACGGGCCTCCTTCGATTAAGACCTCCAACTGACACAACAGCTGAATAGAGCTCCTGCTGCGTGAAGCCACCAGACCAGTCATTTGTAAATACTCATCAAAATTTTGAACACCTCTTTCCAAATCTGTACAGCACTGAATCTTTTATAAGCTTTTGCATTTTTAATTAGAAAAATAAACGTAACTAGATATCATCTTTTATTACAAACACACTAAGAAGGCAACTCGAATACTAACAGAGCATCGGAAACGGAGAGAGAGACTATGAAGAATTGAGAGAGAAAAATGAGTAGAAAAAGAGACAGTTGTACACGGGGCTTATGGGGAACGATGATGGCGTGACCGGCGAGAGAGAGAATTGAGAAGTGGGCAAAGAAATGCCATTTTCTAACTCCTCCCTTACTGCTCCCATTTGCCGATGATCTCAGAGTCGCGGAAGATAAAGTACTCCTTGTCCTCGATCTCCACCTTCGTGCCACCGTACTCGGGCAGGAGGACCTTGTCGCCGGTCTTCACGCTGACGGGCACCTGGTCGCCCTTGTCGTTGAGGCGGCCGGGGCCGGTGGCCACCACCGTGCCCGAGGCCACCTTGCCCTGGGCCTTCTCCGGCAGGACGATGCCGCCCTTGGTCACCGTCTGGGGGATGAAGCGCTCCACGAGGACGCGGTCCAGCAGGGGAATCAGCTTGCGACCGATGGAAGCCTGAAAAGGAGGAAGTGTATTAGTATCGAGTGTACCCAGTAGAAATGGGGCTCAAGAAGTACCATTTTTTGTTATTGCAGTCGGTTAGGCGAAGAAGGTGCCAGAGATGATGATCAAGAGCTTGACGAGAGGACGAGGCTGTGTCTGTCTCCTTGTGNTTAGTATCGAGTGTACCCAGTAGAAATGGGGCTCAAGAAGTACCATTTTTTGTTATTGCAGTCGGTTAGGCGAAGAAGGTGCCAGAGATGATGATCAAGAGCTTGACGAGAGGACGAGGCTGTGTCTGTCTCCTTGTGGCTGCTGCTGTCGAGGATGCCGTGAAGATGAAGATGGTGAAGTACACACACCAGAGCTGCTGCTGCTGCTGCTGCTTTCAGGAGAGGAGAACACGTGCGGTCAGAGCAGGCTAAGCGGGCGGGCGGAGCTAGCGGCGACGACGGCGATGAACGGAATTTTCTCGAAACGGCGAGGCTGCTGCTTCTGCTTCTTCTCTTCTGCTCTGGTACTTTTGCTCTGTCACCAACCAAAAGAAGAGGATGAGGAGGGGGTGACGAGGAGGACTGTCCTGGTGGTCTGGCAGTGGCAAAGTACACGGTCAAAGTGGTCAACCGATAAGGCAAAAAGCAAAGATAAAGCAAGCGAGTTTGCCGGTACACACGTTTCTGTGAGCAGTGGCGCCAGCGTGGGTCGAGCGGAGCTTGCGCACTGGCACGCCCGGCAGCGTGTTCTCCTCGCCGCTGCTGCTTCAGTCGCCGCTGTCTTCTGCTTCAAGCGCTTGCATCAGGCACCAGCACGCTCGCTCCCTTCTAGAAGGTACTTCGAGAAGACTCTGAGATCTCACCATCACCATCACCACCATCACTTCGACGACCATCAAAGACCTGAAGAGTCAGTGCAGTAAGTCACCGTCGCCTCACGTGTGTGCTTGTCAGTCAGCCAGTGCTTTTTTCCTTCACCACCAGCTAACCACTTTTCCCTCTCACTGTTCCACCTGTACCCAGAAGTAAGTGTCTCAGTATCCCAAAAACCAGAACCAGAAACCCCACTGCAAGAATGTACCGAGTCTCCCGAGCCCTCTCCCGATCGACGCTGTCGGCGCTGTCACGCAGCAGCAACTGCCTGTCGACGCCGGCCATCTCGGCGGTCCACGCGCAGCAGTCTCGCCGCGGCGCCGCCAAGGACATCAAGTTCGGCGCCGACGTGCGCTCGCAGATGCTCACCGGCGTGGACGTGCTCGCCGACGCCGTCGCCGTGACCATGGGCCCCAAGGGCCGCAATGTGATCATCGAGCAGAGCTGGGGCAGCCCCAAGATCACCAAGGACGGCGTGACGGTGGCGAAGGCCATTGAGCTGAAGGACAAGTTCCAGAACATCGGCGCCAAGCTGGTGCAGGACGTGGCGAACAACACCAACGAGGAGGCCGGCGACGGAACGACGACGGCCACCGTCCTCGCCCGGGCCATCGCCAAGGAGGGCTTTGAGAAGATCAGCAAGGGCGCCAATCCGATTGAGATCCGCCGCGGGGTGATGCTCGCGGTGGAGCACGTCGTCGAGAAGCTGAAGTCCTTCTCGAAGCCGGTCACCACGCCGGAGGAGATCTGCCAGGTGGCGACCATCTCCGCCAACGGCGACAAGATCATCGGCGACCTGATCTCCTCGGCGATGAAGCGCGTCGGCAGCGACGGCGTCGTCACCGTCAAGGACGGCAAGACGCTCTCCGACGAGCTGGAGGTGATCGAGGGCATGAAGTTCGACCGCGGCTACATCTCCCCCTACTTCCTCACGAAGGGCAACAAGGTGGAATTTCAGGACGCCCTCCTCCTCATCACCGAGAAGAAGATCTCCACGGCGCAGTCGATCATTCCCGCGCTGGAGCTGGCGGTCAACCAGCGCAAGCCGCTGGTGATCATCGCCGAGGACCTGGACGGTGACGCCCTCACCACGCTGATCATCAACAAGCTGAAGATCAACCTGCAGGTGGCGGCGGTGAAGGCGCCCGGCTTTGGCGACAACCGCAAGGCCACCCTCCAGGACATTGCCGTCGCCACTGGTGGCATTGTCTTTGGCGACGAGGCCAGCCTCAACAAGATTGAGGACATTCAGCTGTCGGACTTTGGCCAGGTGGGCGAGGTGACCATCACCAAGGATGACACGCTGCTGCTCAAGGTTTGTTTTGAACTTTTTACTAGTTTTCTTTACTAACAAACCATCAATTTCCATTCCACAGGGCCGCGGCCAGAAGGGCGAGGTGGACAAGCGCGTGGAGCACATCAAGTCGGAGATTGAGAACACCAACTCCGAGTACGAGAAGGAGAAGCTGAGCGAGCGCCTGGCCCGACTGGCCAGTGGCGTGGCCGTCCTCAAGGTGGGCGGCTCCAGTGAGGTGGAGGTGGGCGAGAAGAAGGACCGCGTCACTGATGCGCTGAACGCCACGCGGGCCGCCATTGAGGAGGGCATTGTTCCCGGGGGCGGCACCGCCCTCCTGCGCACCATCAAGCACCTGGACGAGCTGACGGCGGCCAACGATGACCAGAAGGTGGGCATTGACCTGGTGCGCAGCGCCCTCAAGCAGCCCTGCATGCAGATTGCGAAGAACGCCGGCGTCGACGCCTCGGTGGTCGTCTCGAAGGTGCTCGAGTCCTCGGAGCTCAACTTTGGCTACGACGCCCTGGAGGGCAAGTACTGCAATCTCATTGAGGAGGGCATCATCGACCCCACCAAGGTGGTCCGTACGGCGCTGATGGACGCCGCCGGAGTGGCCTCGCTGCTGACCACCGCCGAGTCGGTCATTTGCGAGACGCCGAAGGAGGACGCTCCCGCTGGCATGCCTGGCATGGGCGGAATGGGAGGCATGGGCGGTATGGGAGGAATGGGTGGCTTCTAAGATGAAGATGATGTGTACCTTGCCACCACCACCACGACCTGGTGTTCCCCACACAAACCCCGTTGGCCAAACTCACTTGAAGTCATCACCTTCTCTACAATTATTATTTTTGCTACCACACCACACACACACACCACATTTGCCTTTATCATGTAGTCATCTCTCTCCCTCTCTTTGTAAATGTCGAGTATTCTTTTTGTAAGAGCCGCTGCCAAGCTTATCCCCTCCCACTCAACACACCCACACACTGGCAGTGCACCTTTTTCCCGTTAACTCCTCTCATTCATTCATTAGATTATTATTGCAATTAGTTGTTATTACTATTACCAGTAAATATCCAAATTACCCTTTTTAGAAGTAGAAGTAACTTTATTATTACTGTGTCGAAATCATAAGGCAAAGGTCAAAAGAAAAAATAGAGAATCTTGAAACAACAAAAATAAGGGTCATAGCTCTAGCTTATGTTATCACTACCAACACGGGTAATCACTATGACTGGTACTTCTGGAGAAAGCCTAGGTGGAAGGCCTTGAAGCGGTCCATCATCCGCGCGAAGGTGTCCGGCTGCGGGAGGATGGTGGTGCGAAAGTGCCACGTGCCGGGGATCTGGCCGAAGCCGCTGCCCGGCACCACGCAGATGCCCGTCTCCTCGAGGAGGGCCTTCACGTAGAAGAAGTCGGGCTTCTGGCCGACCGCCTCCGCCGCCCTCACCGCCGCCTCGGGTATGCTGATGCGCGGAAAGCTGTACATCGCCCCCGCCACCGGGTTCGTCCTGACGCCCTCCAGCGAGTTCAGCGTCGAGGTGGTCAGCTGGGCGCGCCCCTTCAGGGATGCCAGGACGGCGGTCTTTTCTTTCTGAAAAAGTTCATAGGAAGGGTCGCCCTCCCGGGGCGGTCGGACGATGCAGTCGATGGCGCACTGGCCGATGACCGGGGAGCAGAGGCGGGCGCTGATCTGCTTGAAGAAGACCGCCTTCACCGCAGGGTCAAAGTGCTCCATTTCCATGTAGCCTGTGGAGATAGTAATGTTTTTAGTAAACAAAAATAGAAGGCTGAAAGTCCTCTGATTTACCTCCTCTGATGCCGCACTCGCCCATGTAGCCCTTGCTGGCGCTCATCAGCGAGGCGAGCTCCAGCTTGACACCCAGCTCTGCCATGACCTGCTTGAAGCTGAAGAAGGCGGCGCCCTCCTTCCAGATGTTGTGTTGGTAGACCTGAGGTTAAACAGAAATAGAGTTTAGCAGGCATTTGAAATTTTTTTTCACTTACCTCATCCGCCACAATCAGCAGGTTGTTGGCGCGGGCAAATTTGATGATCTGCGCAATGTTCTCCTTGGTGAGCACAGAGCCTAAAGATTCAAAGAAGGACAGGTCAGTCAAACTGAAAACAAATCTTCCCCTTTTCACCCACCTGTTGGATTGCCGGGGTTGATGACCACCAGAACCTTTGGCTTGCAGGTGCCCTCTGCCTCTCTGAGCGCCCGGTCCAGCTCATTGATGTCCAGCGCCCACTCGTTCTCCTCGTCCAGGTAGTAGGAGATCTGGTGCATGCCCAGCTCGCTGATGGTCGCAGAGTACAGCGGGTACTGGGGAATAGGAACTGCAAAACACAAAGAAGAAAAAGATTTAGAACTCTAAAAACACTCAAAAAGTCCACCACCCATGCTCACCCATGATCCCAGTGGGAATGCCGTCAGTAGAAAGCGAGTTGAGCAGCGCAAAGAGCGCCTTGACGCCCTCGCTCGCCCCCGAAGTGAGAACTACATTCTGCCAATCAGATGGCACGCCCCCATCCCGCTCTGAGATGTACTCGGCCACGTGACGGCGGATGATCTCAATGNCAGTGGGAATGCCGTCAGTAGAAAGCGAGTTGAGCAGCGCAAAGAGCGCCTTGACGCCCTCGCTCGCCCCCGAGGTGAGAACTACATTCTGCCAATCAGATGGCACGCCCCCATCCCGCTCAGAGATGTACTCGGCCACGTGACGGCGGATGATTTCAATACCGGCGCTGTCGCTGTACGAGCCGACGGAGCCGCCGCCGCAGGCGCCCAACAACGTCCTCACCCGTTCCTTCACGTCCTCAGGGAGGGAGGGGTCATTTAGGGCGGCCTCAGGGTGAAGACAGGCGGAGAGCACCTGGCGGATGAAGGTGATGCCCTTCTCGCCCATCATGTGACAGTCGCCGATGTTGGCGCGAATCACCTCGGTGAAGGGTAGTTGGGCACCCGCCTTCAGCTCGCGGATCAGCTCCACCGCCCGCGCCGGAATCGGCCCCCGCACGGCGTACTCCATCTTGACGATGTTCTCGTTGATGTTCGACAGCGAGAGCACCGGTTTGCTGTTTTCAGACATCTTTGGGAAATTTTGCTGTGAGCTGAGAGTTTCTACTGAAGAATATGAGGAGACTTACTTTGGTGGTGGTGGTGGTGGTGGTGGT